GGCAGGCAGCTGAAGCGCTCTGTGAGACTGGTTTGTGGCCTGTTTGGAGAGGTCACCAGTCTGGGGGCTGTAAGGAGCCCCGGATTTGAGCAATTCACCCTGAGCGGACGCCCTCAGCTGTGCCCAGACACGGCCCGGTCCGTCACACTGCCCTAGAGCACATCTCCAGCACGGAGGCCCGTCTAGGAGCTGAAATCTTGCCGTCTGAGGAAGCGCAGCACCATGCACCCGAGTACTAGCTGCAGTTCGGGTTCCTGCACTCCGAGAGAACGGACTTACCCATCGAATGGCTTCAAACATCTTCAGATCAAGCGGGTCCCCAGAAAGCGCGCCTTCAATGTTCGTGAGTGAATGACACGTTGCCATGCAAGCAACAAACTGAGACTTCACCAGGCTCTCGCTGCAGGCGCTCTCTTCTGGCAAAAGGAACCTAGCACAGAACACAGTAACGCCAATGGTTTACTCTGAGCTAGGTGAGCAGCGGAACACTGCCTTCCAGCACTTCCCAAGCTTATCCCTTCCACTCTGCCCAGAGGACGGATTAGGACCGCAGGCTGAGATTTTTCGTAGAGCCCAAGGGAATTAGGCAACCTGCTCCCACTGAATTACAGCATGATATGGGCATGTACCTCCTGCAGGCTCCTCTGCAATCCCCATCTCCACTAGGGGAGTAGTCAGACACAGCTGGTTCGATCATTTGTAACTTCACTTGGATCTCATCCAGACAAGAACTAAAGCTGGCTTGCCTGAATCCAGTCCCTGGTAACTCAGACGAAACACCCTGACCAGGCTGCAACGAGTGCACAGACCAGGCTCAAAATCCCTTTGCCTTGTTCTGTGCCCTGTTCCTAACTCCCAACCCACATTTTACAGCTGTGAGAACAGGTCGTGGACTTTCCACCAAGTCGTGCTCACATGCGATGTGTAACCCTTTCCAGGCATGCTGTTGTGCACATTCAGGAACACAAAGGATCAAAAATTCTTTTCTGCTTTATGCAGGCTCTTGGATGCTCATGACCATAGTGTCTGAGTACCAGTTACATATTTGCTCTCATATCAATCCCACGGTGCCAAACCAAACCTCCCTCTCATGAAAATACTGTGGTACGCTTGTACTCACCGACCATTCTCCACTCTCTGGATCCCCCAAAGATCTAAGCCATCTTCAGTCAGAGTGCCAGTCTATCAAAAAGCAAAACAAAAAGCCAATCAGTCGCCACAGAGAAAAACTCCCTTGCCAAGATGGGCTCTGAAAAGTGCCGGTGGACAAATGACCAGAGCTACACTTGAGCAGGGACACGACAGCATTTTCACATCCAGCCGCAATGCAGATGTGATTTTTGTTAGCTGTCCCTTGCAGAATACGTCTCCGTGCAGGTTCCGCAGGGCCCTGCCCACGGTACAGCAGCATCATAAGACTGTGTCACTTCCCCGTGCCATGCATTCACTGCTCTCCACAGTCTGCGCTCACGGGACTGGAGGGAACACCCACTCCTCAGCCCTCACTACTGTGAGCTCACAAAGCCTGTGGTTTTGGGCGAGGAATTTCCTAACCTTGCACATGGAATTCCAAGTGAAAAGACAACAGATGACCGAAAAGCAACAGCTCAAGAGCTGGGCGCTAAGCTACTGCCCCAACAAACAGGTATTTGGAGAACTGTTCACACACCAGTTTGAATCCATCAGCCATACAGAGAAACCTCACAGCCGTGCAGAGAGTTTAAGGCCGTGGCGGCCAACCGGTTCTGAAGCAGTAGCCGCTATAGCAGCAGTAGCTACAGCAAACTAGCCACACTCAACCAGCCAAATAGCTACATTTGACGAGGGCTAGGG